CCCCCCGCCGCCGCCATGGGCCTGGCATCAGACAGCAGCGTGACTCCTCCGGAGCTCTGAAATGCAAAGACGTGCCGTGGACCGCAGCACCGCCTTTCCTCCCACTTCCTTTGTACGTCGCCACCTGGCCCTCGTGGAATTCAGCACCATTCGCAAAATGAGACGAAAGCTGTTTTATTTCTCTTGCACAATAAGGGATGAGAAATCCTCTTGCCCCAGTTGGAGTTTCTGTGTAAACTGCATCGACGCTGGAGCCTCCGTTATCCAGATGATTTTGCAGAAATGAATGGCCAATGGCTCTGCAGCCCCTTTGTCACCCATTGCAGATCTACTGCCTTCACTGGGTTCCTAACAACAAAGCAGAGGGAAGGAATGGGGACAGAGTCTGGCACTAATTTGCATTGCTGCAGAATACAAAAAATGACAGATGTACGTATGGATTTTTCCTCTTGTCCCCAGACTCCGTGTGCTGTGTCAGGTGTCTGCAGTAAGGCTTTGCGTGGACACAGAAGGCTTTTCTTGTGCTGTGCACTGCAGGACCAGAACTGCAGGTTGCAATTGCCTCAGGAAACGTCAGCCAGAGCTTCTGCAACAACAGCTGACGTAGCAGATTTTACTGATCACCTACATCTAATACCAGGTTGTCTGAAACAAACCGTTCTTGTGGAGCAAAGCAGGCGACAGCAAAGGAAGCACACTCCTCACAGACTCAAACAGGTGATCTCCAAATGAGAAGATCCACGCCAGGTAACAAAGATCATTCATTCTCTGTAGTTGGGAAATGGGAAAACAGACAACAGCATCCCATGCTGAAACACAAACAGGTGAAGGAGTGCAGTCCAGCTCCAGCTGCCAGAATAGCACCAGCATCACACAGCAGGGCAGCACCAGGCATGCTGGCCTCCAGGCCCCACCAGCTTTCAGCTGAAGGATGCTGCGTGATCAGAAGCACTCATGGACATTCAGAGGAGCTGGCACGAAGCTTTTCACATCCCCTGGATGGAGCAGAGCAGGACACCCATTACCGCTCACATTTTTCTTCATGGGAAGGAGCGGCACAAGATTTTTCAAAGCAGTGAGAAATCGGAGAGGTTTTTATCCACATAAGAGAAAATAATATAGGAATGCTCATTATTTAAGACTGTTTAACATCCAAAAGCTACATTATATTGTAACTCAATTTTGTATATATTTTGACAGTCATATTATTCATCAACCCTATAATCATTCTGACAAAATGTGCTGCTTAAAATCATGCATGAGCAGAAAAAGTCAATGTGGATATATAGCTCACAAAAGGATTTCATTGCCTACCCCCCAACTGCTGTGGAGCATTTACATCTTTTCTCAATGGACTTTTCTCAGAGGGGTCCTTAAGGCACCAGAATCTCCACTCTCTATTACCCCAGCTGAAACCAAGCTGATGCACTGTCACACCAGTCCCACTTCTGTAAGCGAGGACAACATTCGGCTGCTGTTTTGGGGTGTGTTTGTCCACTTGCTTGATAAAGCACTGTGCACATTCTGCTTACTTCCACTACACATCCAAGTACAGGCTTGGCTTTCAGCAAAAGTAATCACATGGTACCGAATGCCAGGAAGGCCATCTTCTAAGTCAGCGTATAATTCTCTGGAAACATACACTGCTATATGAGCAACATATAAAAATATACTTGGACATTTTTAGATTCTTTGAAGATTTAATGCTTTGCAAGTAGGAAAACTGAGAATATTATAGAGTTACATGAGATGCTGGAAATGATATTTACCAGCGAGGTAATTCAATATACCTCTATTGTGACATTCAATAATTAAAGAGAGGCCCCCAGCAGTGAATTGGTGGGTGAGGAACTCATGGCAGCGCCAACCTCAGAGAAGCGGCAGCGCCTGCAGAGGGGCGCTTCCCTCTGTGTGCCACATCCCCAGCTGGCACTGAAGCACAGCCAGGGAGCGCTTTTGGCAGAACTGATTTCTCATTTCTCAGAATAAAAATTAACAGAAGAATGGAGAGCGGACGGCCATTTCTAGAGACAGGTTTTTTTTCCTGGTAGTAGCCTTAGGCTGACTTTCTGGATTTCAGACATCACCCTGCACCTGATTCTTCATAGGTACGACGGTCTGCTCAGATGGGCTCTGTGATTCAGCTCCAGCAGAAAAAAATAAAGGAATGTGAAGTTTGGTCTTTAATGAACAGAAACCAACAGCTGACAAATTAACTACTTTAGAGAAGTGAAAATTAAACAGTCCTGCAGACACGAGTGTTGGCATATGGAAAGCTGCCACTGAGCTAATAATAGATGTGTGTACTGCAGCAGAGAGGGAGGTCCCATCATCCTGGAGCACACCATACATCTGGGCACTGGGAAAACAGCCACAAGGCAGCGTCTGTTTGTTGCTTGTTACCTTCCTGTCAGCTATTCATCTGCTGTAACCACTGGCTGTGGGCAGCCATCCACAGTGGCGACGCTGCACTGCAGTGGCACCAGGATCAGTTCTGCCCACCAGCCCCCAATTTAGCATATGAGTTTCCTGAAGGCGCAGAAGCACAGGAGAGTCTTCCACTAGTACCCTGCCTGCTGCAGTGCAGCTGCTCTACATTATTCCCCCAAACCCAGCCAACAGAATGCAGAAATGCGAGCGGGTGACAACAGCCATTTCCTCACATTACTTGAGGTAGGTGTAAAAGCACAAAACTACCTGTGGACTGGGTCTTCCTTACTTATACCAGCCCAACCCCTCCATCATCTCCTTGTGTGCAGTAGAGTCACGCTGCTGAGAAACAGAAGGAGAACCAGAGTCACTACATGGAAGATGGAAAAAATCATAGAAAAATTACAAAGCAGAGAAGGAAAGTGATTTACAGACATGTGATTATGAAACTCATCAATTGTATTTTCATAAGTATTCTCTTATTCATTAAAGGGAGAATGCAAATGAACAGGGTGGTGGAACTGCAGGCAGACGGCAGCCAGGTAACTTAGTTCCAGTTATTCCCAAAAAAAACACCAAGCAGAAAAGAGAACAAAGTAGGTGATGTGCGCCAGCAGCCAGCAGTAAGGCTGTGTATACACTGTATTGCAGTAGGAAGAGGAGTACACTCATGTAAAACATGCCTCACCCTACACACACTCTCCTGGAGATGACAGATGAGGCTGATTCATAGCACTCCTCCCAAAAAGTGTCCTTACACTCTGTAATACAGAAAGCCAACAAGAGATAATGGGCACTAAAGAACAGAAGTGAGATAAAGCACTAAAGAGAGAGATAAGGTGCAAAGAGGAGATATGCACGAGTGTGCACACACACAGGGGAACAAGCTCTAGTAAGAAGCAAGGGCAGACTCTGCCAGTTTTAGCACTGAATCACTGCTTCTCTTCATAGAGTACATAGCCCATGAGTTTTTGGAGACTTCTGGAGGTAACAAACCACAGGGCAATTTTGGTTGCATCACTGCTGAGTAAGCTGGATATGGAAGCTGGAAGCTGTACGTATATACTCCTGAAAAACCTGGGCCTCTGCCTGAGACTGTAGCAAGAAGTAACCTTAAAAAGAGCCCGGAAGTTCTGTTAATGTTTCAATGCTTCCAAGTCAGATCAGAAACCAAAAAGTTCTCTGAGAGTTCTGCATCTTCTAGCTGCTTCCAGCAAGTAGTTGCTGTCTTCCACACATATAATCCTCCATTGGCAGAATTCAGCTGGCAGTTTTATCCTTACAGACACCACCTACTGGCTCTGCATCGTCCATAAGTAGAATATCACATCAGGTTGGGTACCATGAACTTCACAGAGCTGACAGCTGCAGCAGATGGCCTTTCTGATAGCCTTCCATGTGTCCCTGTGAGCTTGCCAGAGCAGAAAGTCTGACCCCAGCAGCGCTGGCTGCTGGGAACATGACTGGGATGGACTTCTCCAGCACTGGCCAGGTTTTTCCAGGTCTGATGAGGAAGGGATGGCTCTCTGGCCTTACACAGCATTACCGCTACAGCAGCCACACTTGTCACCATCCAGAAGAACAGCAGAACAGTTCCAGAAGCTCTTTCCTCAGCACAGGGTGGTAGGCACAGCCACAGAAAGGTTTTGGCATCATGAAGGTGCCCTGGCCTCCCCTGGCTGCCACTCACATGCTCATACTTTATGTTCTTCTCCACTGCTGAGCCCTTTGGTCCCTTTGTGCCATCCTGCCTTTTGCCTTGAACGGGGCATGATATGGGCACAGCATGAGGAACCTGAGACAGGCAGAGAAGTTCAAGAGGTTCCACATGCTGCACCCCTGGGAAGGCGACATTTCTCCACACAGAGCACTGGCACTGAAACCACACAGTTAAAATAGCAGCAACACTGACAGTACTCACAGGTCCCAGAAAAGAAAGGTGATGCAGAATTGGCTTGTTTACCTTTTCCATACTGGGAACCAGCACAAGTGTTGTCTGCTTCAGTCATCCTCTGCAATATGTGATATTCTGCCTCAAGATCACACAAATTAAAAAAAACAAACCCACAGAACTCCATTTGTTTCCTACAGGAAGAGCTCAAAACGCACAAAATCCAGCCTCTCTGTATTGTTCTTCACAAGCTCCAAAGTGTTCAGCTGCTCAGGATATATCGCATTACAGCCCAGGGATGTACCCATCCTCTAAGTAAGGAGGGCCGTCACCCTGCAGCCAGCTGCTGCAGAACATGTGCTCTATGCATCTCAGGGCCATCAGAGCTTCTAGCCAGCCCTGGCTTCTCTTATATTCAAACTACAGCTCAGATCAGGGGCAACCCTGGCAAGCACTGAAGAATATATTTTCAGAGCTTTGAGAAAAAGGGGGTTTTTGTTTGTCCTCCTCCCTGTCTCTTTCTTCAAAATGACCCATGCCCTGTCATAATGAGCAAGGGACACCAATTGCAGTCTCTTTGTGACAAGCAGCCTCAAGAAATCGTATGGCGTTTTAGACATTTAAAACAAAAACTGATGATTTTACAGTGTTAGTCAGCAATATCTTCAAGAAGGCTTACTGGAGGTCACAAACAAATCCTGAAGGTGTTGGTCTGATTAGGAATCTGGCAGTTCCACATCTTGCAGCAGAAAACTGAAAACAACAGAATGACACAGTGACAAAATATGCACAAGAATAAGAAAAAAAATCTGACTTAGTAAAAACAAGACAGGATACAGCATCGGCCTTGTCCTAAAGTGGGATTTCTTTGGCTCTTCCTGGTTTCTGAGGTCAAAAAGTGTGTTATTCTTCCTTTCCAAGGGGCTGGATTGAGGCTGTGCCTCATGAGGTGGGGCAGATGGCCGTGGGATCCCCACACTGAGATCTCCTCTCCCCACTACAGCATGGTTTGAAGATGGCTTCAGAGCTGTGGAGAACGGAAACACCCAGATGTGCAGGTGTCCCAGGCACGAGCTGAACGATGCAGAGGAGACAGCAGCAAATGCTCTTTCCCTCTCTCCATGAACAGCCCAGCAAAGAACAAGATAACTTTCTTCTTGCATTACTTTTGGTTCATTTGGCTGCATTTTAGAACAGACACGATTAGGCAGATTTTTAAATGAATAGATTGCTTACATTTTCATTAAAGATGGCTCAACAAGATTGTTTCAGTGACTGAAAAGCCAGCATTGGGGATTTTACAGACCTGCACTGGGCTGAACTGCAGCAGTTTGCCTGCTGGCCGCATGCAAGGCTCTTCTGGGGAAATCAGCACCCGCAGTGACAAGCCCTTAGGCCCTGACAGCACAAACCGCAGTTTCCTGCAACGTAACAGCTGCTCTGGATTTCTTCCTAATCTGCATTGCACACAGCACAAAGGTTTCAGTAGCCACAATCTTACTTCAGTGCAGTACACGACTTCCTTTCACACACACACGAGGCCCCTGGAGCCGACCTGCACAGTGCTCAGAGGCTCCAGCACAGGCTCCTGGCTGCAGAAGTCTGCTCCTGCCCTCCATGTCCCCTGTGTATGCCTGCAGTGCAGTGCACAGCTGCTCCTGACAGGTACATGCACTGGCAGCTTGGAAACGAAACAAAAGCTGAGTTCTGATGAAAGCTTGGCCATTATAACCCAGGGGTAGGACGATGTATGGGTAGAAACTGAATTTCAAATAACAACAAATGTGTGTTAGTATTATGAGTATTAGTTATCTGTGTGGGGCTTGAAAAGCAGCTGTATGAAACAGAGCCGCTAAATGCTCTATGATTTCCTTTACCATCCAAAAATATGAAGCGAAGGTAATGAGACAACCTTGGCAATTTACTTTCCTGAGCTTTTTAGGTGATTACCTGAAGTAGATGAGGTACAGCTAGCACACCCCCCCATCGCCCCTCTGCCCTACCTCTCCAGCTGAGCACTTCCTTTTACTCCCCAACATGACTTCAAGACACTGACAGTTCTGCTTTTCCTCCAGATGGGGAACATTCCTGTCCTGGCTCCATCCATTGTATGGCTCCATCATTACAAGACTCATCAAGCTTTCTTCCCTGCTCCACACAGCATTAAAGCAAATACAATGAGCCTAAACTTGTCACTAACTATAAATGCTCCTAATCCACCAAAAAACCGGGAGCTGAGCCTTCAGGACAAGATGCTCTCAGAAATCCCAAGTCTGCAGTCAGGAAAATGCAGAGCACCACCTCTAAAATATTTTATGTGGTAGGAGACCATGTAATCTGTGTACCAGAGTTAGATGAGTACAGAATCAGCATTAGAAGCTGAATCATTTCCAAGATAGGAGAGATTTATCCTATAGGGCTCCCTGTTAAGGTCTTACACAGTGTGCTACCTACTCAATAAACCCAAGAAATTAAATGACTCTGGCACAAATGATCAGATCATAAAAATGATCCAATAAGAAGACTCGGGAGATAAAAACCTCTTTGTATCTCCATCGTGGGAGCTGGACCAAGGATGAGGTTGGGCCCTGCTCTGCACAGCATGCACTTCCCAGCACCGCCGCAGCCCCAAGGCTTTCTTGCCCAGGAACACCACACTCGGGGTGAATCAGGGCTCCCTCACAGCAGGCAAGAGCCAGCAAACAGCACACGAGCCTGAAGCCACAAGTCTGAAGCTACTGAAGACATGAGAATATAAAGCGAGTCTGAAGCTTAAAGTGTTGGTTTTAAGAGCTAAATAGTTGTGCCCAGTACTGTGATCTGTTGTTACTCTGCTGTCGTTAGTCCACCAGAGCTTAAAATAGGCTGAGCAACAAGGTAAACAACTGTAAAAATCCCAGGCTGCTGCCAGCAGACACTCAGGAGGCCGCAGCATCGTACTGTTTCGCTTCACTTCCAGTGACTTCGTTATTTGTAGAAGTCTCCATTAGAATTCAGGAGCCGAGTGTTGATGCAGCCAGAGAAAAACTTCACACGCTGCAGGAGAATCCATACAGCATGCAACGTTGGATAAGCCCAGCTCCAGTGCTTCAGACAGAGCGAGCATGGAGTGCCCTTTGCTGCAAATACACAGGCAATGGTCCCTTTATTTCACTTCCTCACTCCACAGGACAAAATCTAGGCATGAAATCATGGTCTACAATCCTCCCAGATTCTCTGAAATCATCCTGTCGAGTGTAGGTAGTTCTCATGCTTCAGCTACTGCCATCACAGGCTTTGTTAGTGCTGGAGGCTGAGGCTTTGTAAGAAGCCATGGGAGTTCAGGACGTTCTGTTCAGAACGCCAAAGGCGCTGAATAACCACTTACATTTGCATGTGCCTAAACATAGCCCAAACATACTGCAAATAGCAGGAATAGGGTTAGCACTGAGAAGCACAACTAAAAGCAACAAACACCCATTAATAATTTGGTACTTTTCCAGAAAGGCTAGAACACAGCCTATCAAAAAGAATAAGCGAAGTGGTATTTTTGCATAGACAATGGAGGAAACAACAAAGAAAAAGCCAACGATCACAAAGGGCAAACATTTGAGATGTTTGCCGCAAACTTCAAAGCCTACTTTTAACCAGTCAGTACACTTAACGAGATTATCCCAAGATCATCTGTTAAGTACTGTTTCTGGAGTTCTGACTATTTGCTAGACATGCACAGTCTATTTGCTGCCTGAGCTGAAGTGCTTTTCTCTGCTGCAGCAGTGACAGCTCACAAAGAGGCAGCCAGCTTACAGCAGAGCTGCTGCATTATGAATCACGCCATGTGCAGCAGAAAGGAGGCTGCAGTGCTCAGGGTGGGCTACAGAGAGCCAGCAGACACAGGGTGCTCCTCTTGGTGCTGCCCACGGTTTGGCAGACGATCGTCACAGCCGCTCTCATCGCATGCATCCGTTTCTCGGCTTCCGTATGCTGAGCATCAGCAGTAAGGCAGAACACCCCAGGGAGTGCTCACCTTAGGAAGCCAAGGAAGGGAAGAATGAGACCATATGAAAAGGAAATAATTTGAGCATTGTGAGGCATTTACATTTCTGATTTCAGAGGCAGTTCAGACTGCACTTTAGAAGATAGGCTCTGACCCATATAACAGAAGAGAAGGGAAACGTTAAAAATGTAACAACGTTCCTTACAATTATTTCATCCCCCCCCCCCGAGTGTCTGGTGAGGCAGGCTGTAGTTACTGCAGTGAAGATCATGAAGTGTCTGGATGCTGTGAGCACTGCTGCCTCTGCTACACCTGACCAGATTCACCCTCACAGCGTCCCTGTGCAAGGGAAGTAGGGCACTGAGTGCGGTTCACTGCAGAGATGGCTGCAGAAGAATATTCCTGTAGTTAAAGATAGTCCGTGTCACTGGATCCGGTGATGCACGCAGTGATTTTTAAAGAAGCCCCGCCCGGTAACAGCGCAGGATGCAGCCTACCGGCGGCACACAGGAATTCCCGCTCGGAGCCGATTCCTGCAGCCCAGGCAGCGCCGCAGAGCGGCACCCTGCCGGCCGGGATGCGTCACGCAGAGGAGCTCCCGACAGCCTCCAAATGCCAGACAGCGTGTCGTGCAGCCCGGCCACCCAGCCTCCCAGTCAGCCTGTAATCAGCTGCGCTATACATGTGCAGCGGCCTCCAGAGCATAGCAACAGGTGTACTTTGAAACCTGAAAGGTCCTTAGTTCATTTAAACCCTTGGCAGGAAGCCACAGCAGAAGGTCCATTAGCACAGCTGTCGGAGCAGAGGGACTTACAATGGCCACACCTGTTCCATCACCACTGAGCACCCGCAACGCTCCTCACTCCCACTTTCTGCCCAGTAGCACAGCATGACAGACCCCTGCGCTGCACAAAATCCAAGCACAGCTCCAAATGACCTAGAAGCATTAGCTCCACGTTGTGGCAGGATTTCTTCCTGCTGTGACAGAAGGCTCTGCTGTGCACAGCTTACACCAGAACACCCACATGCCAATGTCAGGACACACCACAAGACCGTATCTGCTGCAGATTTCAGTAGGGAGCATTCACCCTCCACAGGACCCAAGGTGTGCCCTGCAACCACCACCCAGCCATGCACCGAGGCCAGGACTCATCCAGAAGAGCAGAGAAGGCAGGGGAAGGGACGGTCAGAAAATACAGAATTGGAACATGGAAGAATGTGGGAAAAGGAAGGGAACAAACATATGATCCCTCTAGAACTAGGGGTTGTACCAAACTGTCTACTGGATGGTTTGTGGAGGAAGCAGAACATTTGTCAGCCCACTGTCATCAGATACACATCTGTGCCAAAGCCCTTTTCCAAAATACTGGCAGCCATGACAGCAGAAAACACAAGCACTGCCCAATTACCATACATGTTTTTAAAGCCCAAACAAATCCTCGGTCACATCCTGCAGCCCTGACTCACAGCCCCACCTCAACATGCCCACATCCCATGGCTCACAGGGCGAGCCATCTCCTCTTGCTACTCACCACAATCTCACACACTGCCCTCACTGCCTCACTTCTACATTGCCTACAAATTCATTGAGCAGGAGTGCTGCTGTTCTTAAGAAAGGAACTGAGGCCGATCATTTCTGTGACTGCTGCCACGTAGATCCCCCCACAGAACACTGCGGGGTGACTTCATTGCAGCCCTTCAATATCTAAAGGGAGCCTAGAGAGGGGAGGGGAATCAGCTCTTTTAAAGGGTTGACAGCTGCAAGACAAGGGAAAAT